ACAAGCTATAATTTAGTATTTTAATTATAACAATAATAGTAGGTAGTGGACTTATTCTTATGAAAAAAACGAGTCTATTTTAAGATTGTATTATAAGGCCTAGCCATAAAAGCCTATTGGGTAACCAGCCTATTGAATTTATAACTTTTTTTTCTCAGCAGAAGTTAAAATTAGTACTTAGTACAGTCTGAGTCTTCTGACTCAGTACAGTAGTACAGTTACACAGTGACAGTAGTAGTCAGTAGTAAAGATCGACGACAGCCTCAGACAGGGGATTCACATATTTGTCATCAACTCATTTGATACTTAGGTTGTTTTTTTTAATAAACTCAAATGCATATAATATACTTTGAAATCCGACGTTAAATTTGATTCTGTCTAAGTAAATAGCAACTTAATAAATGAATCATTGTGTCGAATTGTATGTATTTTTGGCTTCGTCTCATTCGTCACCGGAAGAGAAGTCGGTACTATTTATGTTTTTCTTTTTGTTTTTGTGGGAGTATTGACAAGGGAGGCTACAGCTGGAAATATAAATAGTTATTTTTAAAAGAGATTTTAAAATAAATAAACCTGAAGTTGGGGAAAAAATACAGAAACTTAAAGTCATAATATTGAATTTGATGATAAAATTGAACCTGTATTAGCCTCTAGCTTAGGGTGACCAAATCATGAACTGGAAAAAACGGGACACAACAAGGAGGGGTCTGGGGGGTGGGGATTCCCTCATGTTAAAGAGGGGGTTTGGGGCCTCCGCCAGAAACTGTTTATTGAAATATGTTCATTTTAACTATTTTGATACCTAGAAATCTTTCAAAATTACCTTAACTTCATTACACGTAGTGGTAGCGGAATCAAAATTGGTTTCTGCGCAGTTACGTCTTTCTCTCCCCCCTCCCCCTAAAGTTCTATGGCAGTGACACTGTCGTTTACGCAGCGTCAGCAAAGTGGTGGAGGAGGAACAGTGCAGCCAACACGCGAGCCCACATCACTACTGGCACTGGCTACAAAAACAAAGCTAGCCTAAATATTACTTAAAGTTATATTATAAATTAGGAAGTTTTGTTGATTTGAAATGTTTTTGGTTTTAAAGACGGGACATTGAGGCGTCCCTAGAGACTTTTTCGGGAGACCGTGTGCGATCCGATCGTGAAAAAACGAGACAATCCTGTTTTTACGGGACGTTTGGTCGCCCTGCTCTAACCCCTTCGAAATGAGTTGTCTATATTAATAATTTACATTATGATTTATTACATTTCAGATCACATAATATTAATATCTCTTATATATATTTTACTTCAGGTACGTCCAGATTCCTCTTCAAAACTGCAACCCACAACGCCACAAGTTTCACGTTAATAGTAGCCTACATAGTGAAAATAAAACAAAAATAAGTGTTTATCAGGCATGTGTGCTTAGTACGCTCCTATATGATAGCGAAGTGTGGACCAAATATACCAGTTAGGAGCGGAAACTCAGCAGCTTCCATCAAAGATGTCTGCGTCGCATTTTACATATTCGATGGCAGGACAAGGTGCCTAACATGGAGGTCTTGGAACGTGCACACATGTTTGGCATATTCTCCTTTCTTATCAACAGGCGCCTTCGCTGGTTAGGCCACGTAAGGAGAATGGAGGAGGGCCGTATCCCAAAGATGCTGCTGTACGGAGAATTGGCAGATGGGACAAGACTTATTGGACAGCCACGCCTGAGATTTATTGACGTTTGCAAAAGGAGCATGTGGGAAGCCAATATTGAAAACAACGAATATGAGCTCATTGCCGAACAACGTTCCAGCTGGGGAACAGCAGTGTATGAAGGAGTAAAACAGGCAGAAGATACACGAAACAAGACCCTTGCAACAAAAAGAACAATACGGAAGTTAAGATCTTACCAGGAATCAATATTCTCCTGCGAGAATTGCAGTCAAGATTGTCATTCTAGGATTGGCCTAGTGAGCCACTCGTCGAAGTGTAGGACTACATTATAGCTACTCCATCGTCTCGCGAAGACGGAAGGATGCCATATACTGAGTGAATAGCATAGGTCTATTGGGACCCGGGTGCGAATGGCGGCACTGCGTGTCCGGGGTCATTTTGCCTAATGCTATCCGGATGTCATTTGTTGTAGTTTATTTTAGTTAAACTGAAGAAGCAAGTTTAAAAACATATAATCCATTAAATTATATTTCATTTGATACCACATATTGTCTTACAACTTAACAATAATATTTTAAATATTTTTTTTTAATCCCAACCTCTCACTTCTGGTACCCGGGTGCGAATAGCCAATTCAAAAGTGATACGTTAAAGTAAAACCTTCCTCTGCTTAAGAGTTAGTGAATGCTCAGATGTAACAAGATGCTTCCTCGTCTATTAATTATTCCTGTTTACTTCTGAAGTGTGACCTCTTCTACCTAAATGTGCCTGTACGAGCATATTCACTGTGGTTAGGAACAGGGTTTCTTTCAGCTATATCTCGGGGGGGGGGGGG